ATGCACGCGGGCCAAATCCGGCCCGTTGAGTAATTCATTCTGGCTCGCCTGATGCTGCTACAACCAAACCGAAATCGAATTTTGTTTTTTTAGCTAAAAATAGATCAAGGAATTCGTTGACATTGCGGTTAAATTAAGTTTGACACGAGACCTATTATTTTCCATCATTGCTTTGTAACACTGTAAATATTGTTCATAAAATGTTACTTTTTTACGTCACACTTACATGGCCCCTCAGTCTAGGTTTGTCAAAGTTTGGGCCCATGATTCAAAAACCTTGCCTACCCCTGGGATATTTACTAATTTCAGTTCATTTTGAGCGTTGTAAGGGGTTTTGTGCAAAAGATCCTGAATTAGTTTTAAATAATTGAGCATGATTTCATAAGCTACCGCATACTGCATTATCTTTAGATGGTGACATCTTCACCCATGTCATTCTTAAGCTTACTTAAAGCCTGATTATTGTCGTATTTGTTTACATCGACGTTACGTTTGTATTTTGGGTCTTAATGTATGCTTAGCCGATGTTCAAAAACGTCATTTTTTTACGCTTCGTAGATTATTATATTGACAAGTTGAATGGCTGTTATGCTTGAACTTTGTACGAGTCCCTCAAATTTAAATGTAAAGGGCTATATGATCTGACGGTCAATATTTTGAACAGATCAAGGCATTTGTTTCTTTCATTATCAATGGATGTTTTCCCGAGCATCGATTTCCTTTATTATGTCTGTAACAATGACCAATCAGCAATACGTCAACAATGGCGTAACAATTGCAATTTTTACAGTCGCTCTGACTCTTCTTCGCTCAGACAGATATTCAAGCATGGTTGTAAACATTACCCCGTTCTCGTGGTTTTGCTTGTTATTTGTCAGTTTTCAGTTTTGTTTCGAAAAATAGTTGTAAATCGAATAACTTAATTGTCATTATGTCTTCCGAGGACCTTTAGTTTAGTTGCAATAATCGCGAATTGATTCCGCAAACCTAGCGATGGACTTGCCTAAAATTTGCTATCAACACTTATAAGGCGTACGTGACTTAAGATTTTATTAAAAATAATAATTTTAAACAATGGGAAATTTTTCAGGGGTTAAGGATCAGAGAAACGTCCATTGTACTGTATTTCATAGTGCTTGCGTAATCACATACTTACGGGAGGTTATTTGCGCGCATGGATGCCGGCTGGCTATGCAAATACTTTACAAAGCGCTTACGTGAGGACATAATTCGGTGCTCCCGAAGTATGCGAACCAAGATGGCGGACATCGGAACGTAACATGGGTAACAGGTTGGGGTTGGGCGATAATTTTTTTCCAATTTTCCTTATTTTAGTCCTATTATCAGTTCGAAGACTAGCCAAGAGCCTCCCGTAGTATTTATACCTAAAATTATGGCCTAACCCTAACCTAGTACACATATTACATTCCGATGTCCGCCATCTTGGTTCGCATACTTCGGGAGCCCCCATAATTTATTCAAAGCAATTACCGTGATATGCTATTATAATTGCTGTGATGTTATCACAGTGAATACTAATATAACCTACAATGCAAACTAAATCGTATTTTCTTTCATAAATCGATAAATGGTATTTCAAAAACGTCAATTAACTGCACCTTAATTGACATGTTCAAATTATTGTTATGACTTTATCTGTCGTAGATTTTGGGTTACTTTATCGCGCTTAGACTGAACATATAACACACAATTGTGCTTGAACCACGGAAGATATTTAGATCTCTGTCTTCTCAGAAAACATGAGATAACTCAATCAATTTAATCTCCGTCAGACATCACTGAGCGTTTTAAGTATTTTCCATTAAAAAGGGTAATTTCTCACATGATTTCCATCAAAATAATTTCAAACGTTAGATCAAAATCGGTACGCACCAGAGCCCGATTTAAAAAGTTCGTACCAACAGCAAGGCATCAGAGTCGTGCCTAAACCATGAAGATATTTAAATCCCGTTCTCGAAGCAGTTTTCTCGAGGCAGGCATTCCGAGAGTCGTTTGGTTATTTTCTGCAAAAAAGGATAATTTAAATTATAATATGACGTACAACAGAAAATTCTTTATTAATGCTAAAATCGGTCCGCACCAATGTCTGATTCAAAACAGCACTTATCAGTCACGTACTATTACCACGTGACAGGGTGCTTGTAGTAAGGCTTAGGATTGACCATATTTGGCTTAGTCTAATTTATTACCGCCTCATTGTAGATAAGCTGATTCAAAATGATCGGGATAATTTATTCACGTCTAATATTTTGATTCGAGCAAAATAGTTGAGACATCATCCAAGCTAATCGGAAAAATCGGAAGCAGTAAATGTAACAAAATTATTTGATCGTTCGAAATTATGCAAATCCGATTTGTTTTTTGATGTATATCGCTTGGATCAAATTGACAAACCACCTAAGGGAAGCTTTTTAAATATTAGCACGCAAGTCGTTCCATCGAACAATGGATTCGTAACTTAGACGAAGAGAATAGCTTAAGCAGTGGTTCTCAGACGGTGGGGCGCGTCCCACAGGGGGTACGTAGATCATTTTCGAAGGGGCGTGAAGCTAATGAAAAATAAAAATATTTGTTGGATTATTTTCATCTGCCTTATTTTGGGTATTCGTATTTCTTTATTTTTGATATTTACGTTCCATCCACGTATTTTTTGAGTGAAACATACTTTCGCCTCACTATCTGTTATGTAGGTTATTGTTATCTATAGTAAATTTTGAGAAATTCTAAGAAGGGAGGGAAGGACGTAAAAAGTTTGAGAACCACGGGCTTATAACAAGCAAGCTATTTGAAGGCTGTTCATACAAGTTTCATACGGCAGGCAGGTTTCCCGCCGGAGAGAAATTCTTTCCAAGGATGGCACTTAATTACTTATCGATTTTAATCGGTAAGTATGTTGATAAGTATTTGTCTGTTTGTCTGTTAGATGCACACGATATCTCACGAAATCGAGATTGAATCTGCTCCAGATTTTGCATGTGCATTCATCATATGTCGTACCAGAAGCCTATTGATTTTGGATGAATTACGTCGTATAATTAGCGAGTGATTAATTAATTAGTGATAGGACACAAGGTGCCGCTATGGAATAAGAGCGCTGTTTTGGGGGATCCCCTAACTTTCGATCGATAAGTCTTCGGTCTCTGACCGATATTATCGTTGTTTTAGTTGGGATTTTACTTTGTATCTGAGTCTAGTATTACTAATTTTTTTACTTATTTAGCATTGAGGTAATACTTATTTATGTACGTATTATTAACTACATAAATTGCACAAAAGAGTGTGCATTAATTGGTAACTAATCCCCCAAATACCGGAAAACAAACGAGAACAGAGTTCATTTAAATGCCGGCAAACCCCGGTGGAATAAGGAATTTCAAAATTTGCCTAACGCGTTTGTTTAAAGCCCTAGACTTAACTGTGTTGACGTAGTAGATTTCACAACTCGGGTTTTTATCACATGCCCTTTGAAACGGAAAGATTCCGGGCATTTCAAATAAATATTAGCTTTTCACATACCGTTATATATCAGTGAGTACTTGTACATGCCTTGTTCAGAGCGAAAGGCACAGTAGACATCGCATTAAAAATACAACAGGTCGAGAACCACTGCACTACTGTTCCCAGCAAGTACTCGTTCAGAAAAAATTAGCTTGATTAATTAAAACATATTTTAAGGAAATTTAAATATTATTTTTTACCAATTTCAAACTATTTCAACATGTAAATATAGTTACCGGCTATGTGAAAATTGCACTGTTATTACTGTTTCTGTTTAAGGCATCAAATTACGCTTTTGTTTAAGGTAATTTGTAAAATGATTCTGGGACATCGAATATTATTGCAACAATTGTTAAAATATTGTTTCAAAAATTTCTTTGAATTTTCTAGACCAAAAATATTGCATGCTGGCTGCTCGTCATTTGTGCTAGACGTTAACCCTTTTCTTACTTTTTTCTCTCGTATTATGGACGAATTTGCGGGACCACAAGTATGGCTTGTATTTTAATGACTCCGAATATGAGCTGCGCGGAAATAGTGTTAAAAGTTAACCCTTTTCCTGCAGATGACACTTTTATTATTGAATTTATGGATTGTATCATTGGGGCCGAATTTGCGAGACCAAAACTATATTGCATCTATTTAGTTGCTCTGAATATGAGCTGTGTGACAATAGGGTTAGAAGTTAACCTTTTCCCAGCATATGACAATTTTATTACTGCATTCATAGTCTGTCTGTATGGCCGGATTTGCAAATCATTGCATGTCTTTGATAAATCTCAATATGAAATGCGCGTTCTAGACGCCAAATCTTTCTTTGCATATGACATTCGTAATAACACAGTTACGGCCTGTTTCATGGGAGGCCACACATAGGCACTTCCAGTTGAGACTCTCAAACTGAAACTAATGGTCTCGTGGTTGCAATTTTTCCGCGTCACTGTTTGTAGTAATAGCAGTTAGCATTAAGCTATATATACCGCGGATATAAATCGGGAAATCTGTCGTCATTGCAAATATTTGTATAATGCGTTTCCGGAATGTTTAATTCGAATGCATTATAACTTGGGCTAGCGATTGTCTGGGAATGGGGTTTGTTTCGGAACATTTTCTTTATTAAAAATTGCAAAAGTATATAGAATCTAAACCGGGGGTGCGCGAAGATTTTGAACAAAGGGGCCAAAAAATGTGCCCATCTAGACAAGTGGGCCATCTAAGTGTGACGTAAAAGTTATATTTTATGTATAATAATTACAGTGTTACAAAAGAAAAAGTGGAAAACACTAAGCCTCTTGCCCAAACTAAATTTAATCGCAATCGCAACAAATTCCTTGAGCTATTTTAGGAAAACATCAAAATTTAGTGTTAGTTTGGTAGTGGCAGCATCCGGCAGGCCAGATTGAATAACCCACAACGAGCCGGATTTGGCCTGCGGGCTGTAGTCAGGTCTAAACTCATTACATTTTAAATATTGTTCACAGGGGTTTACCATATATTAATATAGTGTTGTGATAACCGACTTTCATGTTGTGAAACATTTTTCGAGATCTTCAGGAAATTAGGCGAACAATATGTCGGATGGAATAAATAGGCATGCCGGTGAGTTATTCTATTGCATATTATATTTATTTTAATATTATGAATACATTATAAATATATATGTATGTGTATATATATTGCATATAAGGAAGGATATAAATTTGAAGCCAATTCAATTGATATTCGACATTATCATGATCAAGCGACTCCTGTGTGTATCAGGTTGATTTGATGTTATTCTTCGTGAACTAATATAATGTTGTTTGACGTTTTCCACCCAATTACTGTTAGACTTTAAGGGAAATAAGTTGCTCCTCGATAAGTAGTATTGTTTATTTTTCGCTTTTTTATTTACCTGAATTGCCTTTTTTTCATTTTTACAACTCTAAAAAAATTGGAACAGAAAAGATTCTCATCGAAGAGTTTTAGGATTTCAAATAATTCCCAATTTCCATTTCCTGGTATTCGTGTCTCGTACATTTTGAAGAAACATTCAAATTTACTTTTCAGCCCGCCGTTCTTTGCCAACAAATGGAACGTGCAGAAAGAAGGGAGAGCTCGTTGATGCAAAAACACAGACAAATCCCTGTAGGTTAAAAATTTTACTTCGAAACTACACCGCAGACATACAATTTTTTCCTGTAGCTGGCCCTGGTATAAATGGCTCAAAATTGTAGTAACTCAAAATATAGGGTGTCCATAAAGTCTTGGATTTTTTTCAAGATGCATCAATACCATATATTGTTTTGGTTCTCACAGATGCATTAAATAGAGTAAAAATACTTTAACAATTTACGATTAAAAAACAGCAAACTGGTTAGGATATATTGAGAACTGACACCATAACAAAATTGAAATTGTAAAAGAAGTTTATGGACACCCTGTATGTCTGTACATTTTTGCAATCTAAAAAATATGCGATCAGCTATAATCTTTCTTATACAAATTTTGTTCATAATATGAAAAAAGCCATAAATAAGTGACAAAATATTATGCATATGATTCCGTAAACCTAAATCTCTATGAGCGCTGCAAGTCTCCCGATATGCTCAATCTTTTGTATATAATTTAAGCAAGTAGTAAACTTATTTTTGACAAAAATACCGTCCACATAGCTTAGTTGTTCAACTGGACAGACTAGGAACTGAAAACCTGATGCTGCAATTAACGTAAATAAATTGATACTCTTTTTTGTTTTTCATGGCATATAAGTTGTAGACGGCATTTCATTTCAATCATATTCATTTATCAAATAGCGTTCAAACTTTTGTTTCGTGCCACTATCCACTAATAATTAACCGGAAAACAAATGGCTTAAATATGGAAAAGGGACTGGCGTTACGAGATGTGACAAGGCGATATAAAACTTTGAAACGAGATGCATGCGCCAGAGGTGTGCAACTTTTAATACAGTAGGACCTGATACAAATAACGGTTCCATTACATTTGAACCCACGTACATTTGAACCCATGACAATTGCACCTGTATGCTATTGCACCTCTGGAATTTTTTTTGTTTCACGGATAGTTAAACCCATACTAACCCTAACCCATGGGTTATAGCACCCGCATATAGATTGAACCCGTGGATATACGCATGGGTTCAAATGTACATGGGTTCAAATGTACGGTCACCACAAATAACTGCAGGGTGAAACATCGGGACGCACCTTCATTCAACATAGGCTACCAAGTAGTTACAGGCACAAAACTTTTAATTATTGATCTAATGTCATGCGTTGTTTGCTTTGCACAAACTAGCTGTTAGGCCATTGTAACGTCAAAAGCATAGGTAACGAATTTGACTCAGGTATAGACCAAAGGATTGGAATTACTCGCGCGCACGAGATTAAACATCTTTTGAAGTTGGCATTTCTCCGCGGGCCGCACAAATTTTTTTTTTTTGGATCACAGGTTGCACACTCCCACTTTACATAATTGATTGTTTTCAATTTCGGTTCATCCATCTTCATATACAAATTATTGCATTGTTTCGCATATTTGGGCCCCGGCGTCTCGAATAATTTGCATACAAGTTGTTCGATATAAATGTCAAACTCAAATTTAACAGAATTTATTGTCGTCGTTGGAAATATTTCAAATTTAATAAGTTCTCATGCTCCGGTAAAAATTTGGGTTGTCTGGGAACGTTTCTGGTCCAAATAATAACCTTTTCGAGAGTCTTTCAATTTAATTATAATAGTTTTGTACCCAACGCAAGCCAGAAATAGAACCTCCTTAGTTCTTATGCGGCATGAATAATAGTAAAAAATATAACGAAAGGTATTCATTTTGTTTAGTTTCACTTCAAGTCGAAATGGAAAGGTTCGAAAAAGAAGGTGAGTAAGTTTGATTTTGTCACAAAAATAGGTACTCCCGTAGTACGTGTACTACGTTAGGGTTAGGCCATAATTTTTTTCCAATTTTCCTCGTTTTAGTTCTATTACGAGTTCGGGGACCGTCCGTGTTAGCCAAGTGAACATATCATCTGCCCATAGGTTTCAGTTCCTTTACACAATTTGAAAAGAATTTGTTTGGACTAACATAATATGTTGTAGTGTCGCATTTTCTGATATACTGTTAAAGTTTTCCATATAATGTTATTTTAACAAAATTATAAACACTTTATATTTGGTGAGCATGAAAATGTAATGATATACCAGCGCAATCTGTGCACATGCTTCTCAAAACAAGCCCTCTCGCTACTTATAAATATTTGAATGCTCAAATTTAAGGTTTTTTGCGACTGCATATTCCGACTGCAAAATGTATTAACATTTAATATAATGATACGTATACGACACACGACATTTGGAAGTTTTGAAACTTAACTTTACGACACCATAAAACAGCTAAGCAGTTCCGCAAGATTTGTATTTTACTTGACATAATAACTTTCAACTTTAAAATTATTTTAATGCGACGTTTTCATTCCTATCTACCAATTTTTCAGACTAATAATCGTCGATTCGTGAAAATAAAAATATCAAATATGCGAGAACTTGAAAAAACTCTTATAGCTTCTGGGTACAGTTATTTAAGGAATTGCATGATTATGTACAACTCAATGTATATGCAGGCTTTGTAGGATAGGATACACATATTTATCATGATGGAGAGGACGGTCGATAAGACGGCTTAACCATATGGCGAACCAAGTCCTCTCGTTCCGTTACCAGTCCAAGTCGTGTATCTGATGAGGTAGCCAGTTATTTGTTTTCGGAAGCATGGACTTCATGGCGGAGGAAGCCGTAACTGATCAGCGTTTATGTGTATACAGTTGAATAGACTATTTTGCACCAACACATGCGTTTATCGTAATTACGCCTATGTCCTATTTCCTAGCACGTCTCTACTCTGCTTAGGATAAATACGTTAGGCTACGAGGTCGACCGATCCATAAAGAAGAAGAACGGCTCACATGCTTGAACTTGAAAAATCGTTTCTTTTTTAGTTGAACTGATCATCAGCATGAAAGAGTTACGATACGGCGACGCTTTGAGAACAGTTACTGACATAATGAAAACGACGCTTGAACAACCTCTACAGAACTTCAAGTTTCAAGTATTGAAGGTAATATAGGCTCTTTTGTATTACACGTTTGCTTCGTTTAATGGCACGGAAATGAGTACTACCATGACTTTTTCCAATTTTAGTTCTATTACGAGTTTGGGGACTGTATGTGTTAGCCCATTGAATATACGCCTGCCCATAGGTTTCAGCCCCTTTACACAACTTGATGTAAAGCAGGCGAACAAAATTGGTTACCTCTATATTGGTACACGCACTTCTGGAGCTCCCTTTTGTTTTACACATGTTTGCTTCGTTTAATTGCACGGACAATTATAATGATACAATTTCAGAAGTTTAAAGATGTTTGAATTCAGTGGTTCTTAAAGATTTTAAGCAGGCTCCCTTTTTAGAGTTTATCTCGTGCCCCACCTCAAAAATAACTAGCTAACATAAGGACCGCAAATAACAAATAGTAAGCCAAAAGTAATATAATATATTTTTATTCTCAATTAGTTTTTTAGATTCAAATATTTATAACCGCGGAAAATTTGCCAACTTTTTCAAACAACTTTGATTCTCTCGATTTCCCTTTCTGCGCCTGCAAACCTCATCATGTTTGGTTTCTTCATTCAGCAAATTTTGGCCATAATGACACAAAAATGCATTTCTAGAGTCAAATAAACTAGAATATCCCTCGCAAGTAACAATCGGGTATTTCAGTTTCCCCGACGGACCACTTAGTTTTCAGTTGATCGCCGCGCCATATCGGGAACCAACTAAAACAAGGCTTTTAAAAAGGGTCGTTTGTAACTTCTATCAGAGATCACCTACACCTGAGTAAATGCGGTCATAGTTTGCACACATTTTTGAGGGTTCGAAGCTTTCAATAATAATGCGTTTGTGATCTGAAAGCTTACATAAAAATATTCGCGAAATAACGAATACCGTGTTTACCTGAAAATAAGACCTAGCCTGAATTTTGAAATTGAATTAATATAAGCACTCTCTTCCCTTAAAATAAGACCTAGTCAATAACGTGAATTTTTTTTTTTTGACCTAGTCAATAGCAAGAAACCCCTCCCTACACGTTTTAAATGATTAATCTAAAGCGTGTGCGAGAGAAAAACGTGTTATTTTTAGGTAAATGGATATCGGTTTTCATATTTTTTATATTTGAAATCTCGCCATTTTCTACTTTGTAGTTTTGCTTTTGATAAATGAAAGTAAAAGGCATCCCCCGAAAATAAGCCCCAGTGTTATTTTTTGAAACAAAATTGAAATAAAACTTAGTCTTATTTTCGCAAAACACGGTATATGCGCCCTTATCTTTACCTCAACATGAACACATAAAATCATCATTTTAGGTTGAATGTTTACTTCATCTGCTTCAATTCGAAGAAGCAAAAATCGAAGGAATGGAAATGGTTGATTTGTGTTCTAAAGTCTTGAATATAAACGAGGTTGAAGTCTCAAACATAGCTCTACTCTGCCGAGAAAACAACGATTTCGTCCGAGCGTTACTTTACTATCAATGCTCATTACATTGTTGGCTTCGCGACATGAGAAACGAAAAGATACGACGACGCACAATTGACGTCATTACAAGAGGCGAGAAATACGCGCTGACGTCATATCACATTGGCCTTAGTGCTGACACAAGAGGAATCTTTTATGAATACGCGATTCCGGCGTTTTGTACAGTGATGGAAAAGTACGAAATTGGTCCACCTAAATTAGAAGTTCATCGGGATCTTTCCATTATGGGTTGCTATTACCATATTGGCGAAAGTCTTAAAAAACTTGGTGACTTTCAAAAATCTATTGAATTGACAAAGGAAGGCATAAATATCGGCATGAAAACAATGAAAGAACATAAAAATTATTTACTCCCCAAATCGCACCACCTTGTGGCAGAATGTTACCTTGAATTAGGTGATCACGACAACGCCAAACGATGGCTGGACTCCGCTCTTAGGCTTTGCCCATTCATCGTTAATTGGGATTTCCAATCGACTACCGAACGTAAAAAAGAATTTGAGAAACATGTAAACGAGAGACTGAAACATCTTAAAACCATGAAGCTAGACAAAGAGCGAGAATAAATCTGAAACGATGATTGTTGAAAACGCTAATTTTGTTGTTTTGCTGTCTCTTTCGAAAATCTTTTTTTTTTAAATGACTACTCTACCAATGCTGGACTATGGACTGACAAATCCCATTACGTGCAAACAATTCGGGCTCAACAAAGTGGAAATACCTCGTGAAAACCTTATCAAGCTATAAAACAAGAAATAACGGGTAGCTTTATTCCAAGGTAAAAAGTAAAGTCAGTTTTGCGCCTGCCCATCGTTTTAGTCCCCTCCAACTACTCTGTGGCCTTTCGGGGGCCATGACCCTTGGTTGGAACCACCGTTGTGCACTGTCAGTCGATGACAGCCAGCAAATGAATCGCATGGAGTACCTTAGTCTTAGTGTAAACGTTTTACAAACTAAATAACCTAGTACATGCCTGAATTTCGAAAGGAAAGCAATTATTGAACAAAATATCAAATCTGGACGCGATATTTTTGCAAATCAGTGTCCTACCATCAGGGGCGTAGCCAGAAATTTTCAAAGGGGTGGTTCTGAATTTTTGTTTTTGCCAAGTTAGATCGAAACTGCTAGCGGGTCCGATCGAACGCTGGAATACGCGTGTTTTTATTAGTCCTTGGGGTCTAAAAAGCATTTAAAGCTACGGAAAATTGCTATCTATGATACAAAAAAATGATTTTATTTTTTTTACATTTCAAAAGAGGGGGGGGGGGGTTCGACCCGAAAAAGCACCCCCCTGGCTACGCCACTGCCTACCATATTATTGCCCCATCACTATTTTTACCGCTTACGGATCAGAGGACGAACTGTCTCGAGTTAGTAACATATCAAAACGTCATGTTCCAGGTATTACGATTCATAAGCATATTGTTGCATGTGCAACAATTATACATATATGTAGACGTAGAGGGATATCGTATATGCTATGAATAACATACTATAACTGCCACCTCGAAGCTTTCGTTCCATCACTATTCTCCTTATACATTTATTTTGTTAATTTGGTTAACACTATTACACGTTAAGTTAGGATGAGTTAGAGGGTGGTTAATGACCTAAACTTAAAATAAAATAAAACCAACCAACCCAGATCAGAAATTAAGTGGTGCTGCGATAACACGATAGTACCCACATTCATCACCGGTGCTCATTGTTGTGTGGCGCCTCATTATGTTTAAAATATACCAATTTGAGCAATCATCGGTAATATCGTTATCCGTTGCGGAAAACAAGTAATTATAGAATATGCTTATTTTTTTACCTATTTAACCGCATGAAATATATTCCAATATCCATCGCTTATTTCAGTTGTGTGCAACCTGTGGCCCGCGGGGCAAATGCGGCCCACAAGGAAAAATTGTGCGGCCCGCGAAACGAGTTTTTAAAATTTAGTTCAATCTGGTACGTGCGAGTGATGTCTATACCCAAGTCAAATTTTTCTATCCACGCCCATGGTGTTACAATGCCCTAATAGCTAGCTTGTGCTAAGCGAACAACACATGTCATAAAATCAATAACAAATTTTGTGCCTGCAACTACTACAGAGCCTATGTGCACATCCCTGGCTTATTTCGTAATACAGGGTGACACTGAAAACAACAGAACCTAGGTTTTTAGAACGTATTCTAGGGCCCTAGAGATAACATAACTAGGCTTACCATACGTCCCGCTTTAGGCGGGACAGTTCCGCTTTTTAGCGTTTTGTCCCGCCGTCCCGACAAGTCAGCCAAAAGTCCCGCTTTTGTGTTCAGCCATCCAGCATGATACACGAACCTGTTCTCGTTACTGTTGTTTCTGTGTAGCGCAGCGCTGCCTAGTTACTGAAGGTGAATGGATTTGTTTCCCGCTAACATTGTTAGAAAACGTATCGCGTGTAAAACCAATACTAATTAGTCTAAATTCGAATTATTTGTATCATTAACATCAATTCCTTTATATTTTTCGAACTGAACCCGATATTTGGACAGAGAATATGCGCATGAATTCACAATGACAATATGATCAATGAAGACAGCCGGGATAGCTTTAAATGTAGGCCTATGTAGTAGATTCGGAAAATGTAGAGTTTTAAAATCACAGCTAAGGGATCGTTGTCTTTAGAGGCGTCCCACTTTGAAGTCACAAAAATATGGTAACCCTAAACATAACTCACGTGCAAAGCGTCCTAGATTACTGATTTTCGTCTACAACCATACACTAACAGAAGTTTGAGTGTTAAATAAATTTTCTTCCAGTTCTGTATAACTAATTAAGAAATTTATCGATGTTCTTTTTTGGGTCACCCCGTATGTTCGCCGCCTGTGTGATATTTTCAGATTTTTTGAGTTTTGCTGGAATTAGTGACAAATACAATACGAATATGAAATCGAACTGTATATCAGCTTATTTCGCTAAACATAACAACGCTATGTTTTTACCCCCTCTGCATCTATTTATTTTCGCAAATGAGATCAAATATTTTTCGATCTTCCTGGCACACTGTCACCAACAGGTGTGGCGCTTAAAAACATGATTCAAATTGTTAGTGGCATCATATAAAGAAAGAAATAAAAGAGGCGTCAAATTTTAATAATAACTATTTTACCTACCCATTGTAAGATGATATTTATGACGTCATTATTAATGCTTTATTTATGTCGCTTGATGTCCCTGTTGAGCTCTCACTTCCTGTCATGCTGCTTAGTGCTATGATTTATTTTGTTTATGTGTTATATACTCAAACGTCCTGAACAGTTGTGTGTTCGTCCGTCTCCAATGTTTAGGGCTATTGAATTGCTTTACATTTTTCTTCAACTTTGTGATCCTTGGATCACAAAAAAAAAACATTATGGTAATACTAATAATGTTATTTTCTAATATTTTTAATATATTAAGCCATATACTCGATGTATATAATTCATTATGATTTCAAAGTTATACTACCATTTATCAATTTTGATGATTTGCTACTTTTAAAAAGAATATGAATGCATGCAATGTGGCAAAGAATTTTTGTTCCTACGCACGACAACAGTACGATCAGGACAGTCGCAACATTGCACTGGACATGGGGTTGAAACTGAAAGTTGAGGAAAACTGACAAGGTCATATCCTTAGATAGTGTGATTCAAATCTCACGTTTCAAATCGAAAATAGAACTGTCAAAGCCAAACTGAGTTGATAAAAGCAAAACTCCTTTTATTCGTAACTTAATATTGTATTCAATTCCTCGACAATGGGTTAGAATATTGTGGAAGATAATTCAGCACAAAAATAATATTAAACATCTCATGACAGCAAGGTGGTCCACGTAACCACTGGTCGGTTATTGCTCTCTGAATTTAATTTGCCTGGGGTATTTAATTTCTCGAAAGGTTCGAGAGGACAATGTTGAAAAACTTTTTTTTAAATACTGATTGAAGCCAAAAATAAACGGAAACATCGGATATTAGATGGAAGTAGAATTCATGTGCAAGGTTTACGCACGGTAATATCGTAGGTGTTAAAAGAAAACGGGAAAAGGTGCTGACAAAAGAGCAATTTTAGGATTAAAGAAGAAATTTAAAGAAATTATCACAGACGAAGGGTGCCCTGATCACCATGGCTCATCCCGTAAAGCTGTTCTGGCATTGTATGCTACTGTCTCGACGTCAGATTTCCATTTAATCTAATATTGATAGGCCGAAGACAGCTCAATAACCAGCATGGACTCAAACCTATTGAATTGCTCGACACTTTTCTTTAAGTTTGTGATCCTTGGGATTACAAAAAAACATTATGGTAATACTAGTAATGTTGTTTACTAAAAAATTTTTATTACATCAAGAAATGATTGAGATGTTACCATGCTCATATTTAATCTCTTGAGTCCTAGCAGAAAGCAATAGCACAAGTATATATACATTAACCTGTGATAAGTTGTCATGAATCTCGTCCAAAACCGCCGTATTAGATGCTGTAAATCGCCAAAATTTTGTGAACACATGAATGTTACCTTAGTGAAGTCACGAAAGTTGGAACACGAGTACTTTTCGTCTATTCGTAATTTCCATAATACGGTTGGTCACATCCTAAATAAACACGTCACGCGAAGAAAACACGGGTACTTTTTTCCATTCCCTAATTACCATAAAACGAATAGTCACTTCCTAAATAAGCACGTCATCCGATGAAAACAATCGACGTAGCTAACAAAACTTTCTAAAATTAACTTGCTTGTTGGGATGATGCTTATTATTTCAACAATGTGCTTCAGTTCAATTTAATAGTCTTTGTATCATGTCATGTTTTTTTTCCACTCACATATGGTGAGAAAGAATGGGATTAAAACGACCTTTGATTTGATTTTACTGATTTAGTTTAAACGATATCCCCAATGCCTTTTCATTGTTATTCTAGAAAAGTTCATTACTCGGATATGAATGAACATAATGATGGCTGACTAGCAATTTTGTTGTCCTGCATAACGATTTGACAAACTATCAGCCTACAACGTTTATTCTTATTCGAGGTGTGATTCATCTTGGATTGAGCTGCTCACAGCAATATAGGATAGGATTATCCCGGGGGAGAGGAAAGCCGATAAGACGGCTTATCCATATGGCGAACCACGGCCTCTCGTCCGGTTATCATTCCAAGTCGGGTATGGGATTAGTTTTTACTGTATTGTTTGTTTTCGGAAGCATGGACTTGGTGGTGGAGGAAGCCGTAACCGACCAGCGGTTACGTGAACCACCCAACGACGGCGAGGAGTCCAGCAATCCTCTCGCACATAACCATCCCTGCATGGGATTCGAACCTGCGAACCCACGCAGAGTAATTAGAGGTGCGGTGGCGAGCGTATTCCTAACGCTTAGCCCGTTGAGCCACACCGCTCCGAACGTGCACATTACACGTTTTGCCTTGTTACACAGATGAGGATAAGTGGATTCCGGTTTGCAAATCCACTTTTTAAGTTCTTCATATTTCCCTTCGTCCTTTCTTCAACATATTTTTCGTACTTGCTATATGCCACGCTTCGTAATATCGTTTACAAAATAAATTCCTTCATAACTGCGTACTGCCTTGGAATATCAAGCAAACAAGTTTCGAAAAATGCTTAAGAGAGAGATCGTTTCCTCCCAGGCTTGAAATAAACTTTCTCTCGCTCTCTCTGTGTCACATCAAGGTATAGAAGATGCCGATTTTTAGTTCTATTTTTATTATCTGTGCCATAACGAAGTGTTTCCCAATCTATGGGTCGTTACCCAAAGCCTGGCGAACTCTATGTTGCTCAAGTAAAACCACTTCAGATCATGCCGTCTGGTATTCATGCATATCCTTGTCTCGAGACTTTACAAAATTCATTTGTAATAGAAAAATTTACGGTCCGTGATCGGCAGTTAGCGATTAGTCGCGAATTGCTTAGCCTTAGACTACCGGCGACATAGTCCTGCACCGGTCCGCGGAACAGCAATTGGGAAATACTAGCGAACTGCGACTGGCCAGACGAATATTTGGAAGTCTGCATATGTTTCAACTCAAATATATAATATAGCATATTCACATTGATGTAGGCTGGGTTCCGCAGAACCCTTCAGAAATTGTCATAGGCAGTGCGTAAGCTCCATCAGGGCGGGGTATTGGTAATAGTTTTCAACTAGCAATAATCACACCTCGGATAAACCTCATTGGTTACGATACTGCCACTGCGCAGAGCTGACGTAGAAGAAAAAAGTTTGATTATATGAATAGAAATGAAATCTACTACTGGTGGTGAATGAATAAACTCACATACCTTACACGCTTTTATACAAATTAAAATGTTTGCAAAAGATAATTCAAAATTCGAGATGAATAGAACTTCATAAAAGTATTTAATAATGTATGTTCAGATTGGCAACTGATTAAAACATAAAATCAACCAAGTAATTCATTTTGAAGCAACTTAAAAATAACAAAGTACAACAGTTCCAGATAATTCTCTATGGTTTGTCTTATTTTATTTTTTTATTGCGACGAGTGTTGGTTGTAGTTGGTATGAATTACCCTAGAGGAATAAAATTAAGATCGCTTATACAACACAGCCGCAAGGTAGCAATAAAAGCAGCCAATGATCTGGCAATAATTTTCTGGAGGAAAGTTGTCAGAACTTTCTAGACATAGAATAGGAAATCCCAAACATTTTACTAAGACCATGAATATCCCATTTGATTGGTGGAAATACAGGTTCCGCAGAACCCTTCAGAAATTGCCACAGGCAATGCTATTACATCGCCAGAGCGGGGTATTGGGAATAGTTTTCAACTAGCAATAATCGCACCTCGGATGAACCTCATTGGTTACGATACTGCCACTGCGCAAAGCTGCCGATTAAGAGAAAAGTTTGCTTATTAGGGTACGAATGAAATCTATTGCTTGTGGTGACTCGGAATACTTACGTAACTGTCGCGTTATTATGCGCTTAAAAATATTGCGAAAACTTTAAGTAAATGTTTTACCCCTTATACGATATTCGAATTTTTTCCATTGCTATTGTAGCGTAGTGGGGTCGGAAAACTGTGGTCCGCGGGGCAGCGACCAATTTTTTTTGCGACCCTCCAGCGATTTCATAATTCATAAAACAAAAATTGATCCTGAATATATTGTATCCACATGGATTTATGCGGTAACAAGTGCCGCTGTTCGCCGCTTGTTTAAAGCCAATTAGCGCCAGTTGCAAGTCGTTTACTTGACGAACGTTCCATTGTTGTTTGTAAATATAAAATTTAAAAATGTCTAGGGAACGGCGTACTGTCTTGTAAAGTATGGAACTGTACACTAATAAAATGTACAAATAATGTAAATAAGAACTTTATTAGAAAAACAGAAAACAATTCCACATCACGTGAATAAAAGCAAACACTGTACAGTATCTTAACATCTTTTTTTGCTTCGAGTCCATAACAAAGGGCAAAAGTAAAAAAAACGATCAAACAAGTTACGAAAAAACCGGCTTAAACAACCAAAATGACGTACAGTATCATTGAAACTGTGTACAGTACTGTATCACCGGAACTGTGTACATTACTGTACTGTACCATGTGACTGAAGCTTAGTGATCATTCGTTCATAATCGTAATAGTTCGCAATTGGTCACGTCATTTACGATGTAAATAACGAAAACTAATGAGCCCAGAACACTGATTTTCTTGATCACAATGATCCAGTTTATAGGCTTAGATATTACAGTACAGTATTATCTTTTATATCTGTATATGTTCGTAAAGTGCGTTCGTAACCTCGAAACAGCGTTATGGAGTGCGGAGCGTTATGGAGTATCTATGTCCAAAATACCTTCTAATATGATCCGATCCTCTTCTCACTGTTGAGCCATCCCTGGCCATTTTGTTGTTCCGTCACACGGCGTTCAAATGACTATTTGGCAAGTGTTTGCAACGTCTATTCTTATTCGTAGGGTAATTCATTTTGGATTGAGATACTCATAGCAATATATATGTGTTTCCGAACGCGCACATTAAACGTTGACGTTTAACAATAAATTCCTTAGTAACGCGATGCCGGCAAATAAAAAAAAAACAGGTTTTGAATTATGATCACAAAGGAAATATTTTCCGCCCAGGGTTGAAATACATCTTGATTCTAGGGTATAGTGGTCCAAGGTTGTTGGCTCTGCGGGCCACAATAGTGCCAAAAATAGTTAAACAGTGCAATACTAAACAAACAGTTTCATTGCGCAAACACATAGTTGTCATGCATAGCCATTCTAGGCTAATAGAATCCGCATTCGATTTTTAGTTTTCTATGATGCCTATATTGTTAGCATATATTCCCGACCAATAAGTTAGAAAGCCAGATAACAATTTAGACTGCCAAGCACGTCATTCAACTTCGCTAGTTTCCCCAGTTAATACTATTTAATTCAGTGACATTAGTGATGACAATATGTCAAAAGATTTTTCTGATTAATTTTATGACGAAACAACACGAAATGCGATTTTTTGATTACTCTCCGAATTTGACGCGGGCACAGATAATGAAGCGGCGGGCCACATGTGGCCCGCGGGCCTGGGTTTGAACCACCCTGACTAGGGCTCGGCTGAAGAACCGATTTTAAATTCTATCTTCATTCTTTGTGCTGTAATGCAGTGTTTGTCAAATCTATTTTGCTGTGAAGTGAAGCCACACCACTGCATGCCGTATTCGTATTTATTTACGGTTTGGTATTCATATAGCAACTAACCCCCAAATGTACCCCATTTCATGTTGAAATCATCATGACAAAGTTAATTTTTCCCAAAATTCGAACAAAGACTTTCGTAGAAATCAAATTACACCAGTTTAAGAAACATAACAAGTTCCACCCAGTCATTATCAAATTAAAATTTATATTCTCAAGACCTTTGGCACTGATTAAAATAATTATCTCTAAGTTCCCATCCGTACGATGTACATAATTACCCTTATTGAGATAATAGGAGTTTCTGTTTATAACGTGAATCACGAGCTCACGTTTACAGTATTTAATAAGATTTATGATGGACGTATAAATACGACTCCGATATCTTTCGATAGGGGGGAGTAGAAGACGATGTAAACCATTCTAAGCTAGTCTGGATAAATGTTATAAGATTTATATTCTGTGTGTTGTCGAACAATCACATATGCTATAAATGGTGACCCCGACGTGATTTAACCTTCTGAAACGGACCAGATCAACGGACAATAATCAGGACAGGCAACAATTTGACGGAATCAACGAAAAAGCTGACCAAGCGAAAGTTTTCAACAATTGCCGAAAACCGTCTCTACAAAACGTGCGAACTTACGAACGTCGGGGAGATTCAAATTGCCTAGAACAACGATTGAAGTAGCAAATTGCTGACAAGCCGAAATAATCAAAAACATTATGAAAAGACAATAATTTCAATTGAAAACAGTTGAACTATGGTAACGGACTCTGGAAACGTTAAAATCAAGAATATGGACTGTATTGAACATCGATCGAAATGAACTCTTTTAGAACATGATATATGTTCGAGGTGAAAAACCTAATCAAAAACGAACTGTTGAAAATAATGAACTATATACATGGACTGTTTTACTGTAAATTACGCGCTCTATTCCGAACAATAGAGAAATTGTCGCGCTTACCTATTGGATATACAGATCAGGAGCATGTAATTCTACAATTTGTTTCATGATTTGCAGGTTTTTCTTCTCATTGAGACAGACATTTTTCATTCTTCCACTAATACTAAGGTAAAGTACTACATTTTCTTCCTATATATACATGGCGTTTCATTCGGCTTTCAATTTTTATAAATTAATTAATGGTAAAACTTTGAATATTCTAATTTCAAATACCTTTCAAGAGATTTATATTATTGAATATTTGTGGTTAGCATTCCTTTTTGATTAAATAGATTTCGTTAAAATTAAAATGCTTTCTATAAGTAGATTCGAGCGAGTCATACTTTTAATTATTTACAAAGCCGTCATATAGAACGGTGAAATAATAAGCTCGTTTAACAAAAATTGTATCCAAAAGCGTTATTTTTTCAAAAAAGCCCTGAGATGGCATAAACTTAAAGATGCGTTTTTTTTTTCTTCCCGACATGGGACAAGCATATATTGACCAACTAGGTCTACAAAATCGTAACAATGCGATAAAGCGAGTATAAGTATTTTAACTTAGCGAAATACATCAAATTGAAAATATGTTTTAACCGTCCAAACCAAAATTTTTAAAATAAAAATACGCCATCCTTCTGTAATTCTACTTTACAATCTTTACTCTTTCTATAAACTCTTCTTTATTTCAATGTCGTGTCTCATTGTAGATCATATACATGTAAATATTTTTTTTGACCTATATATATCATTAATTTTAGCATTGTGATTGTATTTTTCTATATATTTTCAATTTATTAGAGGGTGCCAAATCTTTAAACTTCCAGTTATTAAGATGGGGAGATAATATAGCAACTAACCCCCAAATGTACCCCATTTCATGTTGAAATCATCATGACAAAGTTAATTTTTCCCAAAATTCGAACAAAGACTTTCGTAGAAATCAAATTACACCAGTTTAAGAAACATAACAAGTTCCACCCAGTCATTATCAAATTAAAATTTATATTCTCAAGACCTTTGGCACTGATTAAAATAATTATCTCTAAGTTCCCATCCGTACGATGTACATAATTACCCTTATTGAGATAATAGGAGTTTCTGTTTATAACGTGAATCACGAGCTCACGTTTACAGTATTTAATAAGATTTATGATGGACGTATAAATACGACTCCGATATCTTTCGATAGGGGGGAGTAGAAGACGATGTAAACCATTCTAAGCTAGTCTGGATAAATGTTATAAGATTTATATTCTGTGTGTTGTCGAACAATCACATATGCTATATTCAATCCTTGGATCTCGAGATTTTACAAAATTTATTTTTTCGTAAATATGGGTTTTCAATACAGATTCCGGTATTGTACCATGATAGAAAAATTTATGGCCCGCGCTCGACAGTTAGCGGTTTTGCCGCGATTATCTTAGATTATCGCATGTATATGTGCGTGGGATGCGTAGGAGAGATGGAATGTGGTACTTCACGTTTTATTATAATAAGAAAATAGGATTTGAGCTACAAGATCATTAAAACCTGAAACAGATTGTTGGGTATTTCCGATGATCTCATACGAAAACACCGCGACTGCTCTTAAATTGTATTGCCGTGGTGGCCTGTGAGTTAGTTGCCTATTACAGTATTACCGTACGGTACGTACGGTACGGTACTTTCTGATGTGCGAAAGAGCTTCATAAAGGTACCGTACCGGTACCGGTAACGGTAATGTGCGCTCTTGCAGTCTTGGTGGCATACCGGTACCGTATTCCCAGGTTTGAATGTTAATCAGAGGCATAGCATAGGTAAGATAGGATTTCCAGTCATTTGTCAGTTTGTGCTCAGATGCATGGGCCGCATTAAAAGACATGAATTATAACAGTGAGTGCAAACACTTCCTTTACGAAACTGTATGATACGGTATGGTAGGTACGGTACCGGTACAGCATTATGTGCCTCCATTTTGTTGCAATAAAGTAAAAGAAAGTGCAATCTAAAAACGGAACATGCATTGCAGCATTGTCACAGTGGTCATATGCTTGATTAGAACTGATTTGACTCACTTAAGTACGGTACCTGTACCGTAGCCTAGTATTCGCGAGAACAGTTTACTTTATTCAGTTATTTGCGATCATTTCATGGCACATGCATGACGGGCTCGATTTTGAAGAATGGGTAATTTCCTGAATTCTGTAATTGCAGAATTTTGTGCTGGCTTTTCCTTTACCCAGGACGTGTACCGGTACTGTATTGCTGTATTGGCAGATTGGCGCTATGCCTGTAGGCCTCTGGGCCTGTACTGCGGTACGTTATGCTCTCAGGATTGAAGCTCGATTACAGGATTACAATTATCTTGATGTGTTTCACGATCTTTGTATTTGATAAGCTACCGTACTGCTGTGTAATTCCATATTTCGACTCCATAATCAGCACAAAAGGCGATGAGCAAAAACAAGCAAAGCACTAAATAAGGTTTAAAACGTACAGAATATAAGATGGAAAAAGGTATTGCCAGAAAGAGGTGGTTTACTCACCTAAAATTATTTAATCAATTCATACACACTTACTACAAGGCTATAATAAAGTTTAAAAAAGGGGAGAAACTTTAATGAGATCGTATGCACCTATAAAACATGTTACTAGACAATCATGCACTTTTGTTTTGTAGCAGGTCTAAATATTCAGATATTTGCCTAATATAGCCACAAAAAATTATTTAACCTGTTTCTTTTTATTGGACTGTATGATATTTATTCAAGATGTCAAGCTTTGCAAGACGAATGTTAAATCAAGTGAAAAGCAAGGAATTCAGACAATATTTAATGAGCACACATTTCTGGGGTCCCGTAGCAAATTGGGGAATTCCAATTGCTGCTATGGCAGACATGAAGAAATCACCCGAAATTATTAGCCCAAGAATGACTGCAGCTCTTTGTGTTTATTCTGGTCTATTTATGAGATTTGCGTGGATGGTTACTCCAAGAAATCTACTCCTATTTGCATGTCATTTTACGAATGAATCCTGTCAAATAATTCAGTTTGGACGTTGGTGTCACTATGACTATTTCAGTGATAAAGAGAAAATTGAAGATAAAGAAGAAAATTAGTTTAAATTTTCATGACTGGTGATTATATTATATAAATTAAAACTATCTGTGTTTGAAATTTTGTCTCTTGTGCACTAATTTACCTTTGACTGTTCCTCCATTGGCTCACTGTGCATTATGTGATGTCATCATATGAACAAATTTATTCGAGCCTATTTTTTCATTTTTTTTCATAAATTTACTATTGCTAGGAATGGTTACAGAGACTTGTTAAGATAGTAGGATAGATAGTAGATATTACATTCCGATGTCCGCCATCTTGGTTCTCATACTTCGGGAGCCCTTTGTTTTATCCTGGGTGATGTGATGGGCACTATACTTGAAATTCGAGACCTCAACTCAGTGGTGTTAACTGTTAACATTATTAGACCCAAATTACCATACCACCATAATTTTTGATAACTTAATTATGAAGGCTCCAGAAGTATGTGTACCCATATGGAGGTAACTAATTTTGTTCGCCTACTTTATATCAAGTTGTATAAAGGGACTGAAACCTATGGGCAGGGTGTATATTCAAATCGGAATAAAGTTATATCTCAACCCTAACCTGGTACACACGCTACGGGACTACCCAATTATAAACATGACTTGAATTGTATTATTCGTGCTTGCTTAGTTTTCTTTTGTGTGGAATACCTATTATCATAATCTATTCGTTTAATTTTTTCATTCTGTCCATCTATTTTTATGATTCGAATTTCCTTTATTTGAGGGATGAAAAATTTAATACAAAGTCTTGTTGTCAGTGTTTAGTCTTTATTTTGAAGCTCTGTTCGATATAAATTTGTCTAAAACTTCTGGAAAAATTTTATTGAATATTTTATATAGTATTATCATCGACTTCTAATATATATAGATTCTAGTCATCAAGATGACCGATGCAAACCGTGTTGGATTAGATCTCGGATTTATTCGTTCAAGAATAGGAATATTTAAAATTGCAACATGGATTCTGAGTTTAGTGGTCTTGATTATCCTATCGGCATCTCAGTACTGGTCGAGACCTGGTTCTGGAGCTCTTGTTTTCGCTCATTTTGTTGCCACATTTGTCGTGATCTCTCAGCTCATCAGTATCATAATTTATCTTTTGAAATTGTACAACTTACCACTCATTAAACGGTTGCCGTGGAAACTTATGGAAGTTGGATACGCCCTCTTGTGTGCTGTTTTCTACTTCATCGCTATGGCGATATTAGGATGGGGAGCAGAAAATGAGAAGCTTTATGTTGGAGATGTAGAAGGTGGTTTCATTGCTGGTGCAATTTTTTCAGCCGTGCTACTGGTTGGCTTCATTCTGTTTGCATTTTTTACCTTCAGATCTGATTCAATCAGGAGTCAACCTGATGGAAGTTCTGGGCCTTCCAATGTCAGCACTTGATGGAATTTTATGTTTTACAAAACTTGATTAAATAAAAGTACCTGGAAATTTTACAGAATATTGGAAGTGCAAATAAGACTTTGTTCCACAGCATTCAAGTTTAGATGATGGTACAAATTATCAAAATTCATTGCTTTCAAATTGCCTTAGATCATTTTTGTTTGTTGAATATGGTATTACAAAAAGTCTAATTTTGTATTTACTTGATTTAAATTCATTCATCTTATATTTCTGATTTTTAATCGTTTTGTCTTGATTGACTGGTATTCAAATGAATTTCGTTACATCCGTATTGCCATCCATATAATATGTGTCTGTATTCCTAATCATTTCAATGTGGGAAACTTAAAGCAATATTCAATATAATATATTCAGATTAGTGTAAGCATCGTCGCTTTTCACTATCTGGTGAATTTATTGATTAATTTTAAAATTCTGTAAAACATACAATATTGCTGATCAATCATGACTTGTTCTTCCATTTTGATTTTTTTTTAACATTTACCTTTTGTTTATTATGACTTTAATAATTACAATCCACTCGGGGTGTATTTCATAATTAGTTTTCTGAAAATAATTTTAAAAATGTTTAGTTACTCCTCGAATTGTTTACTTATTTTGAACTTTGCCATGGTCCAAAAATCGACAACACGAATGACACACACATAGGACGAAATTCAGGAAGTTGTCAAAACATCCTTGAAATGTTAATTTGTTAATTTAAATTCTGCCATCATTAAAAAAGTCGCCAAAATTTCAAAATGAGGGTTAAACACACTTTTTTTAGTAAGTAACATGGGCGATGTTAACTTATTCAAGCAATATTATTGTTCAATCTGTATTGGTGACTTTTACGGTAAATAACTTTTTATTCGAACAAACTTTTAATGTTTCTTGCAGTATTTGCGTAAAAGTTACGACCATATATTATGCCCATCAAATCAAATCCCATTTTCTGCTCTTGAATAACTGAGTCTCTCTTTTATTGAATTTTACGACCACCACCATCAATCATTGATTGACCACCAAAGTTTTGAACTCAGGATATCCTCAACCAAATGTCAGTACCTGCTATTTTTTGAAGACTATGTGTAGTGACACGACACACATCATGACAAATCTTGAAAATGATTTCAGGATCGATGATCTAAGAAATCTTGAATTTTTGTTATTCCAAGTTTTTTTTTTACTTATATAGGGGTTCATGTTCATCCCCGGCATGATTTTAAACTTTATCTATTGCATGCTGTATACTTACAAATATACTAATATATATACCTAATATCATATGGTCTATACAAGTAGCCAAATAATTTACAGTCGATGCTGATTTAGAGAGCAGTTCTGGCTGTGTTGGGCAGACTTGAGTTGGACACTGGTTCCCATTAAACAAAGACTCGAGTCTAATGACATGACTATTCCACTAATCACAAGTGACTTTACTCAGGAATTGACGTTTGACTCGAAACTCAGATGTCCTGTGACTCAACTCGGATTTCTGTATTTTTACCATGGACTGGGACTTTTTTCCAAGCTATCTGAAACAGAATTTAGTACTGATATAGAAAACTTTTTCACCCATCTTTGACTTAAAAAAATGTGTGTCTTTCAATTGAAGATAGCAAAATTCTGGCAATGAAAATTGAATATTTCTAAACCTGTTCATCTGTGTAAAACGCCAACTCAGTCTCCTACTCTAGGTACCGTAATCATGTTTACAGTTGCCACAATTTTAGCATTTTCATACAATCATATTTTTCTCATTCAGGACTTTTTATTAAATAGAGTTATTATTAAATAATATACTTTCACAAACAATTAGTATGTGCTGTTCTGATCATACTGGTACTTCTCGTTTTCATTGTATTTCTTCATATTGTATATTGCCTAAATTAGCATGTACACAATATTCACTAATGGTATGCCCTTCTCAATTCCATGTAAATATTGCAATACAATTTCACATGATCATGTATCTCTTGCAGATTCTCTGTCGGTTATGAACTATAATATCGCATAGGGCAGAAATTTTCAACTTAAAATGGAAAACTTATTTATGATATTGCTTTAATTTTTCGCCATTGTCCATGACAATAAATACACATTCATTAATAATATTATGATATTGCTGTTTGAACATTTTTAATATATTGCAATAATTTAAAATATATTACCTGATCCTACACATTTATCGATCCCAAATTTGAGATTTTCTTTTATTTCAATTTTTTAAGATCCTAATAACCTTGTGAATGGTGCAGATAGCACAACAGATATGTTTGTCATTGATTTAGATTTTTGAATCCTTTGAATTTTTATATTTGAATCGAAACTTCTTAGTGGTGGTTTGCTGAATGCGAACAACTAATTTTTTTGGCAATGCCCTTAAAAATTGGTAATGTATCAGACTGTTAAGTCCAGGTTAGCCACTTTAGGCATCAAAGGGTCGTCATAAACATTAAATGCTTCCAACCAGGAAGGGAATTTTTTTCCCCCGGGAAGGAACTTTGTCATTCTTGGGTGGAATTTCCTTTAATTTACATAAAAAATTGCTAATTTGGCTTGTTAAGTTCTGATTCTCCAAGTTTTCTAACACTTTTTCACATACATAGCTTACAACCCTGGTATTGTTCCAAATTGTCCCTACATGAGGCAAGCCTATTAGTGGCATTGTGTTGAATTAAAGAATATTGTGGTATTTGAGTATTATCAGTTATCCTAGTACATATATTTAATTGAGATTTATGTTTTGAATATTGCATTGATAAGGCTTATGATTTTCATCACTGTATAACAAAGTATATTGCAATTTATACCCAGTTGTCATAACTTATTTAAAAATTGTCTGAAATGTTATAGGTATATAATTATTCCTTCGTTTACTCCAGTGGTGGAATTCTGAGGGTTATAACAAATTCTCGTTTTTATGTTATGTATTAGATTTATGTCAAGTTTGTCATGTTAATGTAGCTTGCGCAGTGAAATGCATATTCTTTAAATGAGAGAACCTGTTGTTAAAGAGTGTGATGAAAAGAGAACTCGTTCTTAACATTTTAAATCCATCACTGAGATACTCTATATTCGGACCTCCTGAAGTATGCGCACCAAGATGGCGCACAACCTGAACTCAGGTTGCGTACCAGGTTAGAGTTCAGGTAATGCGGCACTTGGTGCGCATACTTCAGGAGTACTCTATATTGAATATGAATTTTTGTTACTCCCGTAGTGTGTGTACCCAGTTTTTTTCTAAATTTGAATCCGATTTTACTTATTTTAGTTCTATTACGAGTTCGGGGACTGTCTGTGTCCAAGTAAATATACCCCCTGCCCGTCGGTTTCAATACCGTTACACAACTTGATCTAAAGTAGGCGAAAATAATAAGTTCTCTATATTGCTACACACATTACCGGGGCGCCGAATTTTAACCTTCATTTTGTAACCCTATGTTTAACAGTCTAGTAATTTTACAATTAAAAGTTTCATTTAAATTTGCATGATTCATTTTAAATACAATAAAATAATGTTATTACTCATTATTTGAGAATTTCTATTGTGTTGTTGTCAATGTTGCCTGGCGAAATGGAGATGATCATCATAAACTCGGCGATTGGCTCATTGTGTTAAGCGTTAGAAACACGCCTGCCTGCTAATGTACCTCAGATTGCTCTGTGGGTATGTTTGCGTGGCGGTGTGACTCATCGTGCTAAGCGTTAGGAATACGCTCGCCACCGCATCTCTGATTACCCTGCGTGGGTTCGCAGGTTCGAATCCCATGCAGGGTAGTTATGTGCGAGAGGATTGCTGGACTCCTCGCCGTCGTAGGGTGTTTCACGTAACCGCTGGTCGGATACGGCTTCCTCCACCATCAAGTCCATGCTTCCAAATAACTAATCTAATCCCATACCCGACATGGACTGGGAACCGGACGAGAGGCCGTGGTTCGCCATATGGTTGAGTCGGCTTTCCCGGGATAAATAAGTAAATCCTATCCTATTAAGAGGAGGTTCTTTGAGTGGGGTGACTCGTCGCACGGTGATTCACGTTCAAATAACCATTCTATTGTGGCTCCCACAATTACCAAATAAATGCATATGAAACGATTCGCTCAAGACCAGCGGAAATAAAGGGTCAACTATTCCCGTCACCGGAAGAGAGGCGTGGTTCCACTGTTCATATGTCATTATCCGTGTTATCGACTTTTTCCCCCATTTGACAAAAATGTGAAATTCCTATCTTAATGCATACTTGGATATTTGTTTCAATACATTCATTGTTCATTCCAATGCAAAGTCCCAAACGGAACTTTTCGAAAAAGAGTGTTGTGAGGAATGAGGATAATTGAAGTTTCCGTTTAGTACCTAACTTTTGCTTTGGGCATATGTAATAAAATTTGAGTGTAAAAGTCAGACTTCCCAGCTTGGAGATATTTTTGGCAGTTTGTATTGAGCGATCGATCCATGCTCGCTGATATGCAAAGGAAAGACTGTAACCAGCATTTTAGGAAGTAGATCAAATGGACCTTTCCCCGACCTTTGACCCCCGGAAAATTCTCCCTATACTCTACCATTGCAAAATTTTCAGGGCTATTTTAAGAGTGCTTTTGCGAGTTGGCGCCTGTAAAATGGGGTATGTGTTTCAAACCATCATTATGATTCATCGCATACAACAATCTGTTTTTTAAAAGTACCGGTAAAGAATTTCAGGCTAGTCTATCACAGCTATTTTTACACTAATTTTTATTACTGCAATTAAATTAAAGCTCCTAGGAAGACAGTGTGATCATTGAATTATCTGATTTATATTTAAGTTTCCTAAACACAACTGAAAACTAACGAATAGAGTTCAAAATCGCGAAAACGAGGTAATGTTTACAACCACGCTTGAAAATGTGTCTGAGTGAGAAAAGTGTCTGAGCGAATGCGAAAAGGGGGCATTGTTACGTCACTTTTTGCATCTTGCTGATTGGCCAATGTCACGATGTAAACAAGGAAGTCGATGCTCGGGGAAAGGTCCATATCAACACACTCATTATACAATAACAGGCAGATCGTACATGATTTTAAAAAACTTTAAAAGTCACCTTAAAACTAATAATAATATAAAAAACAAAAAAAATAATAACACTATTGTACATAGCAAGAATTGTAGTGAGTCGGGTATTCCTAAGCAATAATAATTTGTAGAAATAATAAGTAATAGAATTTGATATACGGACACAATCGGCATTTAAACGGCCTCTTCCGTACAGCAATATTATATAGCTAATTTAATACTCGGGATATAAGTTACCATGCATTAGTGATTAATGAGGTAGGTGGTCACATAGAAAATATAGATAACAACAATATTTCCAAAAAAAACGTGCAATAAACACAATCTATCGCTTCATTCGTGTGTTCCGAGTAGGGATGTAAGTTTCAGAATTTCGAAGCGATTCGAATCAACATCAATTCGAAAGGATTCGAAGCAATTTAAGAAAAAAAGGCTTGATTCTATTTATAAAAAAATTTAATAGATACCACAAGGCAACTAACTGCACGACACAGCGTCGCTACCGTTATTATCGACCAAAAGCGTTTATTATCCTTGCGTTTACAGCTTTCCAAAGCCGTGACACTCCCAGAGTCATTATATTTCATATTGGTAGCAGCTTTCGGGGGACCAATGGTTTCGCTCAATTTTGTTCGACTACTTAAACTGTTACAAAGTTTCACAAATATTTTGAACGTTTCTTCAAATTATCTACATGATATTATTATAATAAAACATCATTGCTTCATACCTTATTAAAAACATGTATGTCTGCGATGCGATGCTTGCCTCGCTATCATTGCTTCTTTTAAAATCATGGCGCATGTGGTACTGACTAGCGATTATAATTTGGATGAATTTTGAAGGTCAATTTTAGAAGAAACAATCGCTATAAACCCGGTAATATTTGCAAACATAATTGTATGTGAGTAAATATGTAACTGAGTATAACTTTATGTAACAACAAATAAATCTTAGCCGTGATATATTTGGTAGTTGATACATCCATGCATTGTGTTTTTCTAGTAACTTTCCTAATTCTTCAAGCTCATTATTGTTATTTTATCAGAATTTATACTATATTTCTTCCAAATTTGAGAAAAGTTAACGATAATATGATGATATACTAAATAAAATCAGATTCGGAAATATTCGAATCGGAACATTGTGATTCGAAATTAGATTCGAAAAAAAAATATTCGAAACTTACATCCCTAGGAGGTTGAAAATGTATCGATTGTGCTGTGACTAAATTAGCATTTTCTTTGTCGGGTTCGGGTCCCGTTCTCATTAAAAATCGACTTCCCATTTGAATAGTTTGCCAGTCGATTTCGAACTCCCATTACTTGATGATTAAAGTCGTTGCCATTAGGCTATTACTTATACAGTTTTTATTCAAAAATCGTCTCAGTTCTTGGTGCCCAATATTTTATCACAATTCTGACGGTTTTATATACGCCCGATCATATGACATTCGGGAAAATTCATTCAGTATTTGTCTGGAAAAGGGATGTCCATATAATTAATTCATTTGACCTCCATGTCCACGCATTTGTTCATTCTCACTTTTCATACATATAAGCGTCATCTTTCAAAATGCGTTATCTGTCCCAAAGAAAAATATAGGAGCATGTGCAGTGTTGTTGTTGTTGTTGTTCCGGTTCGGATAAAATTCCTTTTCCAATTCACTCTCGCTCCAGAAAATCACTTTTCGCAGCGTATCGATATTTTTGTAAGCAAAATATATGGCAGTGGGACCGAGCAATAGAAGAATAATTCCAAATAAAATACGGACATTTATTTCTTCAAATTCGCTTATAAGAATCGCAGCAATCCCGGTGAATGATATAAGTAACATTTCAACAACGTAGTAAATATAAAGATGTGTGTATTTCCGTTGTACATTGTTCTTTTTTAACAGGCCTATTATTATCGGACATATTATCCCGAAAAATGCCCCGAAAGAAGGAAGTGTTATGTGCCAATATGGTCTGAATGTAGACGCTGCAGCCATTCCAGCAAACGATACAAATGCAAGGAGAGAAGCAAATGAAAATATGAACACTTTCATCGCACGATCTTTCGTGCAAGATTGCTGTTCTTCAGAATCATTGTTTTCTTTCTTGAATATGTCTAAATTTTAAAGTATATACATTATGGCTCGAAAATGTGGCACATCGTGCTAAGCGTTAAGATCGCACCTGTGGATTCGCTGGTTCGAATTCGTTGGGATAATTATTCGCGAGAGAATTGCTGGACTCCTCGCCGCCGTAGGGTGGTTCACGTAACCGCTGGTCGATTACGACTGCCTCCACCACCAAGTCCGTGCATCTGAAAAACAAAATACTGGCTAACTAATCCCATACTCGACATGGGCTGGTAACCAGAGGATAGACAGTGGTTCGTAATATAAATAAGCCGTCGTATCGGCTTTCCTATTCTCGGTGATGAATATGTAAATCATATCATCGATATGTGAGCGATTCAGAAACCATTCTGCGTAATTATGCGAGACTTAATACTATTGCAGACTCAATGTTTTAAATTGTATACATTTCAGCTGCTTAAAATTATTCAAAATCACAATTACCGATTAATAAAAGATATTTACATAAATAAGAAATCATACCTTTTATAGACTTGAGAATATTGCATTCGATAGCCATTTTCATTTCAAATATTCTTTAAACATAGTATGTACCAGATGACAAAGTATATTATTGTTATCACTGTGAAATAGACAATTTTTCGTCAATCATTAAATCCAATCTCAATAACACCAAGAAACTTGCTATATCTATTAGGCGACATCATATCAATGATTCGTACGGTACTCACCCTCAAAAACAGTAAAATTTTACTTTTTTCAAATTAGATATTTGAACCTTGGGTGTCGCTGCTCGATAACCAGCATTGACTCCTTGCGACTTTCCTTCCCCAGTAAAACTGTAAATTTCATTTTTTTTTCTCGTATTTTCTGTGTTCATTTGTTTTTAATTTACAGGCTGGAAAAATAAACTCGACTTGACCCAATTTCCTTACTTTGCAAATCTCACTAGACAACCGAATCATTGCCGCAGTATTGCTTATCTGATTCGTCGACATAATGGCTGTTAGTTTTGCTGTTCGATCGATCAACTTGACTTTAAATAGACTCAGTCAGTCACGTTTCATTTTGTTTTTCGCAATAACGGCTTTTCTGACTTTATGCGTTTAAATATATTGTGTACATTGTACATAATGTATGATTTTATTGCTTAGTTCTAAACTATAAATCTGAAATCTTAGTATAGATTACTTTTAGCAACTTCCTTGAAAACTTCCAGCTTTTTCTGCATAAAAAGGTTGAGCGATATTGACATCAATTGTTTCAAATAAAATAACTGAAAATCACATTTCGTAAATTCGTTTTTAAGGCTGACAAATGTAAATATTATATATGTATATATCGTCCATTCCTTTTTGGGCTCTCAAGAAGTGTGTGTAGTTGTGTACCAATATGGATCAATTTTGTTCGCTACTCTACATCAAGTTGTGTAAAGCGACTGTAACCTATGGACAGTGGGTATATTCACTTGTCTAACACAGACAGTCCTGAACTCGTAACAGAACTAAAATAAAGAAAACCAGAATATAATTTTGGCCTGACCCTAACCTTGTACACACACTGCTGGAGTTTCTTGAAGCAACACCTCTTGCTTTATCAAATTGCTGCACTGACTGCATTTTGTTAGACTTTTTGACATCGCGCAATCGCCTTAGGCGTGTTGGACAGAAAGAATTTCAGCTTGGTTGATTTATATATTTGTTTAATTGAGGCACGGGTATGACTGCTGACGCTGCTCAAATTCTATTCCTAATCATCTTGAGAGCACGCAAGCAATGTGAAAAATATTTCCTAATTTGGAACAACATTCTTCTTAAACTGTTTATCACCTGCCCAACAAAAATCATCAACATATATCGCAAAAACACTTTTCAAACAGTTTGCATACGAGTAAAATACCGATGGATCAATCGTCGACAGTTCGCACCAAGTTTTACCAAGCATTTTACGCGTAAACTGATTATTTATCGATTTTCAGCTCGGTAAGTATGTTGATAGGTATTTGTCTGTCTGTTAGATGCACGCGATATCTCACGAATGCGTGAGATGCTCGATGCGTCTGCTCCAAATTTTGCATGTGCATTCATCATATCTCGGACCAAAACCCTATTGATTTTGGATGAATTATGTCGTATAATTAGCGAGTTATTAATAAATCAGTGATGGGACACGCGGTGTCACTATAGATTCATGAATCAAAACCGCAGTTTTGATCGATAAGTCTTCGGTCTCCGACCGATATTCTCGTTAAACAATTAGACAATTTGCGCCAAAGGCCATTTTTCTTTTGCAAAACGTGATTTCAACCCAGAAGCTATTTTACCAGTTTCTGTAGTTTCCCCGCAATATATTAAAATATTTTTTTTCTATTTCCCATTTAATGATTACTTGTATCGATTACTACATCAATCCTAAAAGCTGATTACAATGATGATTTGGGGTGAAAATTTGTTTCTCTCGATTTGAGATGAGATGGAATAAGCGTTAAACTTACAATAACGGATATGCTGGATATTTAGCAAGAAACTGGCGATGACATTTTAGAAAATCAGGTAACACGAAACTTCCCCGTGAGCCATGGTATTGCATTGCATGATATCTGTTATTCCGTAGAAACGATTAATAATTAGTAAGACTTCCTAAACTGGTAATATTTTTGATAGCTTGATATAGATCGATTGGTGATCGCTAATATGCAAAGGAAAGAATGTAATCGCCATTTTTAGAAAGAAGACTGTTGTGTAATGACTTTTTCATTTTGCATCATTTTGACTATCCTCGTGTTGCATTTTGTGATTTGGTACGCAGTTTTAAGTTTGCTTGCTAAGCGGTGTCATTGTTTATTTCCATTAACCTCACGTTTCTATCAAGTTAGATACTTGTGTAGTTCGTTAGTCGGTGTCAGGGACACAAAGAAGACCAAATATTAACACACTTTTTAATACAATAACATGCCGACCCTACACGGTTTTGAGAAACTATAAAAGTCGCAAATAAAGATAAAAACAGGCAAGATAATAATAAATTTGAGACGTCCGCCATGCATACAGAGCAGAAATTCGGGTGTTTCTTAGCAATAATAATCAATGATAAAATTTATTATTTGGTCATTTGAACGGCCTCTTCCGTACATCAGTCATATATACAGCAGGTTTAATGTTTGGGCTACAAGTTACGATGACGCTGCATTAGCGATGGATTGTAAACAGAGAGAATGGAGTGACAGCATAAATAACAACACTGTTTGCAAAGATCTGCAGCCAACAACACAGTCAATCGCTTCATTAGTGTGATTCAACTTCCGTGATTAAAAATGTATCCTCTGTGTTGTGTCATCAGCAGTTTGGGTTCTCTGTGGCTTCCTTTTACTATGGAAATGACTTATTGGACATGGATTGGATCATATCGATCGATAAATTCTAGTTGTTGCTCGAACAAAAGAAGGATTCGGCTTTCTCAATGAATCTGAAAATAAATAATTGGCAAACTAATCTAATACCCGACATGGACTGATAACCGGGGCAGATGCCGTGGTGCGCGATATTCTTAAAAAGCAGTTTGATCGGCTTTCCTCTTCCCCGAGACAAATATGTAAATGCTATCTTAAATCGCTTTTCTGTACAACGAATTACCACAATAAATTGCCAGACTTGAAGGAAGAAGCCGCTATTAGGTTATTACATTTTTGTTTTTTATTTCAAAAATATTATTTTGGTGTCCGCTATTTCATCCACATTTTTGATGGTTATATATTCACGGTCACACTGTCATATGACATCCGGTAAAATTCTGTCAATATCCAACATGAAATCTGACCTTCTTGCGAAATATTATCCTATATACAGCATTGATTCCCTAATTGTTGGTCGCGTCAACATTTTCCGGGGACGCCTAATTTCTTTCAAACATCCGAATTCAAGTGACTAGGATCTGAAAGGTGGAAAGTAAAATTTGTGCTGGTTGGCAGGTACCGTAAAACTCCCTAACTTCTTATTTTTCAGCACTACCTCGATCATTTATTGTCCAAATGGCGCCAAAATTGCTCGGTAAAACATTCATGCGTACATTTTTAACTGTTTTGCAGGTACCGGTATTAGTAAATGAGTGACAGTGGTACGAACGCAAATAATATTTTTTTTTATAGCTATTTTGATCATGTTAGATTACATACCAATGCGTACCAATTACATACATTCGCTGGTACGCGAATCGGATTTTTTGCCGGACTCGTTCATATACTGTTTTGGGCCAATGTTCACCGTCAACGTGTTTATACTAATTTTTGAAGTTGCTGAACGTTTCTAGCTGAGTTCGCGAGGCCTTGAAAAAAAAGTTTGGGAACCACTGCTATACAGGTATTCAATCTGTTACGATACACTACCGCTTTACACTAGAAATGGTTTTTTAAAGTTCGATTTAGTTTATGAAAGGTACTACTTATACGGGATAATCTGGTTTCATATTTCACAGATGGCGCATCTCTAATCCCTTGATAATTGTTTCTTGAATTTTTCATTAACGTCAATGTAAATATTTGTGCTTCCTGCATCTTGATCTGGGAAATTAGGATACCACACATCAGCCGATAGAGATGCATTTTCGCCAGATGAGAGAAGCAATTGACCGTTCTATTAAAAAAAATAATGCTCAAGAGGATGAATGGTTGGTGCGGGATGTGACACATGGTGCTAAGCGTTAGTTATATGCTCGCCATCGCACCTCTGATTATCCTCCATGGCTTCGAATCCCATGCGGGATGGTCATGGGCGAACGGATTCCTAAGAGTGGTTCACGTTACCGCAGGTCAGTTGCGATTACATCTACATACATGGATAACTAATCCCATACCCTACATGAACTGGTAACCGGACAAGAGGCCGTGGTTCGCCATATGATTGAGCCGTCCTCTCTCCTGGATATAGATCCGTAAATTCCATGGATGCCGAGGTTAAACGAATAACATTATACATGGGTTCTATGTGGACACATTCAATTTCTACACAACTATGGCAAAGTTACGACTGAACACTAAAATTACATAAACAACTCCGAAACCCATTTGTTAACTTGTTAACTATTCTCACGCCCGACATGGAGTGGTAACTGAATGAGAGGTCTGCCATATGAATAAGCCGTTTTACCAGCTTTCTTCTCCCTTGAGATAAATATTAAACTCCTGTACTGCAATACTATGGTATGGTATTATTGCATGATATTAGGTCCCAAACAAATGACCATTAGAAAAGTGGTTACGAGTCAGGCAAGCCCTGTAACTAAAGTTCTCGAAATAAAACTTTTGGGTGAAACTTTTTTTTTGTTTGTTTAGAGTTGATTGTACACTAAAACTACCATCTTTTTCGCTTCCACCAACACCCTGTTTTGCGGGTAGATTCTCTAGTCTGGTTTTTAACTTTAATGAAGCTAGGTGGCGTTATGTTTATTAGGGTGGCGTTATGGTGTCGCATTATTAGAAACATGGATACTGATTAGTAAATGTCACAGTTCTCGAAACAAAAGAAATTTTTTCGTGAGAGAATAGTATACTTGCAAATCCGAAATTTCAGAACACAGTATTGTGTCGGATACTATATCTGAAAACCATTATTACGATTGACG